ACATCCGTCCTCTGAGATACTTTGAGGATGTGACAGCAGCTGTGTCAGAGGTCAGAGACAAACTACAGGACGTCCTGAGGGAGACATGGACAAAAGTCTCACTGACATCAACTGAAGTGGATGTTTTACTGTCACCAGCAGAGCCCAAGACCAGAGATGGATTCTTAAGATATTCACGTGAAATCACACTGGATCCAAACACAGCACACAGATATCTGTTATTATCTGAGGGAAACAGAAAAGCAACAGAAATGAGTCAACTACAGTCTTATTCTAGTCACCCAGAAAGATTCAATGTCTGGTTTCAGGTCCTGAGTAGAGAGAGTCTGACTGGACGTTGTTACTGGGAGGTGGAGTGGAAAGGGACAGAAGTTAGTCTAGCAGTTGCATACAAGGATATCAGCAAAACAGGGGACATGAATGAATGTAGATTTGGATTCAGTGACAAATCTTGGGCATTATATTGTTACCAAAACAGTTATAATTTTTGGTACAACAACATCCCAACTCCTGTCTCAGGTCCTCGGTCCTCCAAACTTGGAGTGTATCTAAATCACAGAGCAGGTATTCTGTCCTTCTACAGCGTCTCTGAAACCATGACTCTCCTCCACAGAGTCCAGACCACATTCACTCAGCCTCTCTATGCTGGACTTGGGCTTTATGGTGTTGGAAACACAGCTGAGTTCATTAAACTCAAATAAACAGAAGTAACTTCCGATGCAGTTTGTTAAAATCTTTATTTTAAAGCTGAAACTTCTTAGTTTTCCATGTTTGTTGCTTGGAGCCTAAACTGACATCTGTCCAGATGAAAATGTAAACTTCTCTGTGCTCTAAATGTTGGAGGAATATTTGCATTGATGTGTTTGTGTGTTGTTGTGTCTCCTCCAGAGAAATCACCAGACTTTCCTTTATCACTGAGGTTTTGTTCTCACACTTTGTCCATGTGTAAAGAAATCTATAATGACACTGACATGTGTTTGTGTGGCAGACCAGATGTTGTTGTTGTCCACATCTATGGACCAATGAGGTGTGTGGTATACGGGGGTTTGACCTGTTATAACACTGTGATCATCGTGACCCTAATCAATAAGGAAATCAGTGGTTATTGACTTTTACACAGCTGAGATTTGGGTTGAAATGTAAATCAACTGATTGTGTGGATAAAGTCACTAAACAAGATTCATGTAACAGACTTTACTGATGTAACGTGTGAACAAACTGAAGGTTTCATAATAAATACAGTCTTTAACCTTCAGCCTCAAATCTC